CACTGAGAGAGATACGGTGAGGGAGGGAAAGAGAGAGAGAGAGAAAAGAGAGAGAAATATCCGCTCTGTGCCGATGATCTCTTCGTAACCGGCTGTTCGCTCATCCTCTTTAGGCCAAAAGCTCTGCGCTACTTTCTAGTTCGTGTCCCGTGCTACTYGGTTCGGTCTACCAAGGCGACGCTCGACTTCCGTCTGTGGGATTTGCTCCGTTTTTCTCCGTTTCATGCTGCAACAGAAGAGGGAGAGGAAGAGAGAGAGAGARCAGGGGGAGAGAGAGTCTATCTCTCTCTACTCAAGCTCGGCTGTTTTCGTATTATGCAGTTCCCTCCCAAGTGTTATTCTATCTCTGTTTGCGACATTACTCGTTTTTGACTTCTCGGTTCTGTGCGGCAGCGGAGCTAGAAGGGGGGGAGAGAGAGAGAGAGAGAGGGAGAGAGAGAGTGAAAGAAGACGAGAGGGAGAGAGAGCGGGAGTGAAGGAGGACGAGAGAGAGAGAGAGAGAGAGGGAGAGAGGACGAGAGGGAGAGAGAGGGAGAGAGGCCTTTGACTAATGGTCTCCCGCACATACTAAGACTGAACTCGTGTCCGACGTCCGTTATTCGTTGTGAGGAATTTTGCTTCGCACCTGGCCAGATGTCTAGTGGATGTGCATGCTCTTGACAGTTATTCATTGTGAGAAGTTTTGCTTCGCACCTGGTCAGATGTCTAGTGGATGTGCATACTCGTGCCAGCTAATCRTTGTGGGGAAGTTTGCTYCGTGCCTGGCCTGATATCTAGTGGACGGGTATGCTTGTGCAAGTTGTTCGTTGTGATAAATTTTTCGCTTTGCACCTGGCCCCATATCGAATGGATGTTCTGGCGGGATAACGAAGGCAAAACCGGGCGGATACTGAGCTTTCCTTGACTGGCAACCGGCGAAGGGAGGAGGGAGATCGAGGGCGAGGGAAAYRGAGAGAGATTGGGGCCCACAGGGCGGTCGCGCCAGACCACCGYCCTTCTCCTCCCGCCGGATGAAGGCTCTACGGCCCGTCACGAGGTAACGCCTGATTCTCGTCGGCCTGTCTGTCGCCACCGACAGTCCCAAGGCGACCGGTATCCCCCGGCGCTGTCCCACTCAGGGAAAAGATCCGTTCGTATTCGCTACGTCCTGAACGGGCGTATCCAGGGGTGACTGTNCCAAGGCGACCGGTATCCCCCGGCGCTGTCCCACTCAGGGAAAAGATCCGTTCGTATTCGCTACGTCCTGAACGGGCGTATCCAGGGGTGACTGTAGCCTCTCCGACCCCTCCGAGCCTCGACATGGGGAAAGCTCGCGCGTTTGCTTTGGCTGACTGAGCTCTTCTTGGGGGGGGGATGTGTCGCCTCTAGAGGCTTGAAGCCCTCCGACGAGTAACGTGTCAGGAAGCGCTTGCTCGAAAAAAAGCCGAGTCGGCTGAGCTGGCGAACGGCGATCCTGTTGGGGAGCGAAGGGGAACAACGACTAGCCGATGAGCAGAAAAAAAAGCCCGCGGGTTATTTATCGGGTTCGCGGGGGTGGCATAGGAGGGCAAAGAATTGCTCGTTGGCACCAGGGGTCTATAGCGGGGCCTCCCCAGCTGACACCGGATTAGTAGGTTCTACTCAGTCCACATGTCAAATGGCGGGCTCACAGTTCAGTCCGTTGACCCCACGCGGCAGAGAGCTATTAGAGCTCCAACAAGTCGAAAGGATCCGCGCTCGGTTAGAGAGGGAACTGAAGCAAGCTACCGATAGAGAAAAAGAGATCAAAAGTAGAACAGCCAGGCTTAATACATTAGAGGCAGACAAAGCTGCATTAGAGGGTTTGGACAAGTCAGCCATGTCTGACCAAATGAAAGTGTTGAAGGCCAGCGTAATGTCGCTGCATGCGCACGTGGATAGTAGGCTGGATTTCATGCAGAACTCCTTTGACCAAATCTTGGACCTTTTGCAAAGGCCAGGATTACGGCCAGCAGCACAGTCGTCGTTGCCGTTAACGGCGATGTCAGGCCCCTTTCCGGTACAAGCTGGCACACAACCAAGTGGTACGTCTGCAACAGTTGCACATACTGTTGCTTCTTCTTCTTCTGGTCCAGCGGTGATAGCTACACAATCACCGCAACAAACTGTTCCACCACAGGGACAACAACAAGGTCCATGGTACCCAAAGACCCCAATGAAACCACCCCTTGCCTTCTCCGATGAGAAGAAGGACGAGGAACTCAACACTTGGTTGAGAACAATTTCAATGTGGGTAAGGGCAAAGAGGACGTTGCAGGAGGAGGAGGTGATTACTGTTGCATCTTACCTTGAGGGTAAGGCAGCCAAATGGTTGGATGGGATAGTAGCGAAGGCCGGGTTCAGACGATGCATGGCAGACTGGGGTAAGACCCTTACTTTAGAAGAGTTCTTAGATATGGTAGAAGCTCGCTGGCATAATCCGCAGCAGACACAAATTGCCACTGATGCGATGCTCAGACTAGACCAACGAAGGTACAGGTCTGTCAGAGAGTTGACGTCTACCGTAGAGAACCTCATCGTCGTTCCCAGTTTACGCTATGATGACCAGGTCTTGTTGACCATGTTTCTGAGATGTCTGCCTGAGAATCTCAGGACCTTACTAGCCAGCGAGGCACGCCTCGAGAAGAAGAGTCCACAGGAGTGGAAAAAGAAGGGTAGTAGATTGATGATGGTTGAGTCCGATGGGACTCAAACTGAAATCGACGAACTTACCGACCTGATGGACAGTCCAGAGTACGACAGCGAGGAAGTGGCTGAGGGTAGCACCCTCGCCGCAGTAGTAAAGACTAAGGCAGGTGGCCGAGGTAAGGGCCATCAAAAGAGTCAAGGGCAGACCGCCTCCAATCAGTCCAAAGTAGCAGATTGGGTTAAGGCAGGTCTTGATCACGCGGGACCCCCGAGTGCGTGGTGCTTGCATCAACAGTGGTGAATACGGACACACCCAGTACAAGTGCAAGAACGCAAAGGTCACGCAGAAGATACCCCTTAAGGGAGGGGTACCTTCTTCCCAGGCTTCCAGCTCGGGAAACATTTGAGGCCGGTGGAAGTTTTAGCTGCTTCTACTCATGGTGAAGTGGGCCAGATACCCTCCCCACTTCATGAGATGGCCATAGCTAACGACCCTTTAGTCACCCAGCAGACTCATCTGGACCAAACTATGCTCTGTACGTTGGATGTGTCCGAGGCTTTAAAAGATTAAGAAAGTGAGTGGTCAAGCAAGGACCCTCGTGAATCTTGGGTGGCACTAAGTAGAGGTCCTAGAGGGGAACATTTCGTCGTGGAAGTTGCTGTAGGAGGCCGCAGATGTGGAGCCTTCATAGACATTGGCTTCACGCGGAATTACATAAGTCGCGACTGTTTGGAAAGGCTGCACCTAGAGGACCGGGTACAACACCTTAGTAGACCGGTAGCATCTACTTTGGCCAATAAGGAGCGGATGGTTGTCACAGACTATGTCAAGGATGTAGTCTGTACCTTCTCCTATGGAGGAGGGGAAGATTTCGTTCCTGGTTAGCGACGACTTACCATTCGATATGTTGTTAGGAATGTACTACCTTGAGGTTGCCAAGGCCCAATTTGACTGGGACAAGAAGGTGCTAAAGCATAAGTTGCCGGATGGAAGGACCGTGAGACTGACCAAGTATAAGGCTAGTAGGTTACTAGAATCCTATGGCTGCTTGTGCGCATCAGCATTCTACAATTATTATAAATAGAACCAAGAGGAGGGTATCTACCTAGTGTATGTCTCTGAGAAAGGGGAGGCCGTTAAAACACCCCCAGAGATCGAACACGTCGTTGCTAAGTTCCCTGATCTGTTTAGAGAGCCCACATGAGTCGTAGATAGGGAGATTGTTCATGCCATAGAAATAATTCCAGGGAGTAAAACCCCAAAGGGAAGGATCTATAGGATGGCTCCGGCCGAATTGGACGAACTTCCGCGGCAACTGAAAGAGCTGACAGAAAAGGGTTGGATACGGCCTGGTACTTCCCCCTTCGGATCTCAAGTGCTGCTTGTACCGAAGAAGGGGGGATCGTTGAGGATGTGCATTGATTACAGAGGCCTCAATGCCATCACAGTGAAGAACGCAAAGCCTCTACCTCGCATAGACGACCTATTGGATAGGGTGCAGGGATGTAAGTACTATAGCAAGATAAACTAAAAGTCCGGATACCATAAGATTGCCACCATAAGACCTGAGGATCAGCACAAAACCGCATTTCAGACCAGATACAGTCTGTATGAGTTTGTGGTGATGCCCTTTGGCCTTTGCAATGCGCCGGGTACATTCCAGCACGCCATGAATATGATCTTCCATGACTACTTAGATAAGTTTGTCGTCGTGTACCTTGATGATATTCTTATCTTTAGTAAGTCTGTCGAGGAGCATGCACAACACTTAGAAACTGTACTCTCTCTCCTGCGACAACACAAGTATAAGGTCAACCTTGGAAAATGTGAGTTTGGACGCACTAGGGTCTTGTACTTGGGTCATGCGGTATCCGCGGAAGGGATTAGGCCGGAAGATGCGAAGGTGGCTAGTATTAGGGACTGGCCACGACCTCAGACTGTTACTTAAGTCAAATCTTTCTTAGGGATGTGCGACTACTATACGAACTTTGTGAAAACTACTCCACGGTCGCCTCTCCTTTGACTGATCTAACTCGACTTGATACGCTGTGGGACTGGAGTGACGAGTGCGAGGCTGCTTTCATACGATTGAAGCATGCACTCATGAATCATGAGGTTCTCATGGTGCCCGATCCTCAGAAGCCTTTCATTGTGACCACTGACGCAAGCCAATACGGCATTGGCGCAGTGCTGGCTCAACAGGATGGGAAGAAGTTGAGACCGATTGAGTACATGAGCAAGAAAATGCCATCAAAGAAACTGGCAAAGTCCACCTACGAAAGGGAACTCTATGCCCTCTACAAGGCACTTGTCCATTGGAGACACTTTCTGTTGGGACGGTTTTTCTATTTGAGAACTGGCCATCAGACCCTTAATTGGATCAAGACTCAACCTACTCTTTCTGATGCACTCAAGCGCTGGATTGAAGTCATAGATCAGTATGACTTCAAGCTAGAGTATCGGAAGGGAAAGTACAACAAGATTGCAGATGCGCTGTCACGTAGGGCAGACTACCTAGGGGCGCTAGTTTCTGAATTTGGCGTATCTGAGGAAGTAACTCAATCGCTGGTAGGAGCCTATTAGGAAGATCCTGTCACGATGGACATCATATGCGAACTGCAGAAGAAAGATAAGGCCATAGAAGATGAGTTTGTGATGGTGGGCGGGCTACTCTTTCTGAGAAAGGTTGGGATTGAACGTTTAGTGATTCCATCTAGGGAAAATTTGCGCAGTTTATTTCTAGGTGAATGCCATGACGCAACTAGACATTTTGGCTACAAAAAGACCAGTGCCAATCTAGTACAACCATTTTGGTGGCCCAGAATGCTAAATGATGCAAAGAAATATGTGGAGACCTGTCAGGTCTGTCAGCGGGACAAGCCGCGAACTCAAGCACCGCTTGGGTTGCTGAAGCCCTTACCTATCCCTGCTAGTCCGGGACAGAGTGTTTTCATGGATTTCATGGATACCTTGGTAACCAGCAGGAGTGGCAAGTGGCACATCTTTGTCATCATAGACCGATTCACCAAGTATGTTAGACTGATCGCCATGCCAGAGACTGCCAGGAATGAGCACGTCATCAAGTTGTTTGTGGACAACTGGGTGCGTGATTTTGGACTGCCAAAGTCAATCATTAGTGACAGGGATGTCCGATTCACAAGTGAGTTGTGGAAGAAGACTGCTGAGCAAATGGGCAGTCAACTTCAGATGACTTCTGGGAATCATCCCGAAGCCAATGGACAGGCCGAACAGATGAACAGAGTTGTGCAACATCTGCTGAGGCACTACATTAAGCCCAACCAGGATGACTGGGATGAGAAATTGCCTCTCATAGCCAGCCTGTACAACAACGTTGTGCACAGCACAACCGACTTTAGTCCTAACCAACTGCACTTGGGATGAAAGCCTAGATCTGCTCTAGACTTCCTCCTACCTGAAAACCGACCCTCTGCAACTCCAGGCACACTTGAGTATGGTGTGCAGTATGAGAAGTTGCTACAACAAGCTGTCGAGCACATCAAGAAATCTCAAGAAGCAATGATTGCTTCTGAGAACAAATATCGTCGACAATCCACATTTCAGGTAGGGGAACGTGTCTGGGTCAAGGCTAGTGAGCTAGGACAGGAATTCGGTATCTCTCGAAAACTAATGCCTCAGTATTTTGGTCCCTGGGAAGTCCTGGACATAGTTGGGGATGATTTGGATGGTCCTTCCTATGTTATCCGTATCCCTGGTCACTTGCGCACTTACCCTGTTTTTCACGCATCAAAGCTTGCACCTTTCGTTGAGACAGATCAATTTCCTTCAAGGAGATCAATGCTGCCCCCATCCATGGATGGCCACGTGGACATCGACGACATACTGGAACACAGAGACACGCCTGTTCCAAGACCTTTGGGCCGAGGAAGACCTCCAAAACCCAGAAGAGAGTACACAGTCAGATTCAGGCATCACACAGATCCTAAAGAAGATCGATGGTTCACCAGGGAGGAAATGATTGAAACAGCACCTCAGGTGGTAGCTGAATATGAACGACAACTAAAGGGGAAGGCACCTGCGAAGTAAGCATCTCAGCGGACTTTCGAAGCTCAGGGGGATGGAATGTGAGGAATGAGCCCTCAATGGGGCCTTGCCGACATACATGTGTTCTGGGCATAGGCCCCCAGCAAGCCTCGTGCCCGCCCTAAGTGAAGGCGGGCCAGATTATCCACGAGAGACCTTCATTCAACATTTCACAAAGTGGGTATCAGACAGTTGCCGCACGCCAGTTGGTTGGAGTGCATCGTGAGCCTCAGACTCCTGCAAAGGCAGTTGAGCCCAGGGCCTGGGTTGGTTGAGCCCTGGGCGACAGTCTGGGAGGCCGACACAGCACACATTGGTCCCTGGCCTCAAAAAAACAATATTTTGTCGTAGAGGCCGAGGAAACCAATGGGAAACCGGTACAGAGTCTGAATCTGGACAACGGCCCTAGCATAAGGGGCGCAACAGTATTACATGGGCCCCATCTGCATTGGGCCTGGGTACAGGTACTGGGGCCCAGGCGCAGGCTCAAGGCAGACCGCCCACACGCAACATTGGCATATAGGTAGAGCAGGCGGGTGGGCAAGGATTTGGGCCATTGCGAGCAAAGCCGGCACGCTGCTGCATTGCGAGTGCAGGTGCTGCGCTGCGCTAGGCTGAGTAAAGGCAGGCTGGTGCTAAGCGGTAGGGCGCAGCCTGGGCGCAGGGCGCTGGCAGCCATAGCCGGGCTGCTGGATAGCACTGAGGGAGGTGAGGGCGAAGGTGGTTCTTCGGAAGGTGAAGGGCGCTGTGTGGGATAACAAGGGAGAGTGAGGGAAGAGAGAGAGACGTACCTGGTGGAGAGGAGGTCGGCATTGGTGTTGACGTCATCACTCGCTGGTCGTCAAGTTGTCTGGTTGCTTCCATGCTCTAGTTGTAGGTATAGGCTGTAGAGTAGATAGGGCGCCTGGCGCCATTCAAGAGAGAGAGCTACTTCGGGTTATGTTGTTGGTGTTGCCCTGTTGGGCTTGGACATTGACTCACGACTTTTGCTGTATCGTTCTCAAATGGATGGTATCTTGGTTCCGATATGCTATCTGCTCTTGCTTTGACTACTCGGACTTCAGTGTGATTTTGCAATTGGTATCTTCGTGCTTCGTCCACATTCACGTTCCTTGCAGGACCCTAGAACCGGGACTGGGACAGCTTACAGCGTGAATCCATTCACATCTAATTTCGGGCTGCAATGCATCAGTGTTTTTTTCTCTTTTTTTTTTTTGGCTGCAATGCCTTTTTTACTTTGGCTGCAGTGTCTTCGTCTGAGGCTGGGGGAAAAGTTAATGTTGACATTACAATTTAAGCTGAGGAGCAGAATTTTTTCTTTTTCTTTTTTAATAAGCTGTAATGACCCGCCAAAACACAGACTGAGAACACTGCTGATTTCTGAGTTCTGCGACTGGAATGGATGCCTTGCTGAGATTCCCACATTCTGCTGAGTTTTCTAAGTCTGTGTGTGTGTGCGTGCTTGATGGTCTGCGTGCCTGAATGAGTGCTTGTCGGCCTGAGTGTGTGTGTGACCCGCAAGGGTACTTGCTTGCTTGGGAGGCCCCATAGGGCCGGTACTTAATTGTGGCGGTGACTTTGAGGGTTGCAGCGGGGAAAACACTCAAGTAGCGGGAGTAGGCCCACGGCACTTAGAGCAGTGGGGAAAAACACTCAAGTAACGGGTAGGCCGGTACCACTCAAGTAGCGGAAAATGTGTCGGGGACTGGAGGCCGAGCAGAAGAAGACAAAAGTTGGCATTTTTAGAGGCCCAGTAGCTGGTAGGCTAGGTCTAGGCCGGAACCAGTCCAACTAGCCGGAGTCTAGGGCCTGTGCGAACAATATCAGAGCCTGCAATGATGTTTCCCTCTGAAAGGGGAAGGTACTGGTTGCTTGGAGGCCGCACGGCCTGGAAGTCACTGCCCAAGGAGGCTGCTGCCTCGCTATATCTCCAGGGAGAGCCAAGAGCTCTTCCTCATTTGCGGTATGCAAGTTTGGGCGATGTATTGCTGGACCAAATGCTGGACTTCAGAGTGCTGGTGTGAAGAGGAGCGCTGGGCATTACAGCGCTGCTAGGAGGAAGGAGACTGGGAGCTTCCACCTTGGCTATGGTGGAGCTCTACCGGTAGGAGGAGGAGGAAGAAGGGGGCTAGGAAGCAGAGTGGCGACGTACCTACCTGGCTATGGTCGGCACCATCTTCATCACCTTGTTAGGCGCTGCATCTGGAAGGCCCCAGTTGGGGTTGCGCTGCACCAAGAAGGCTTCAAGGCAGAGTCAGGCATGGCGCCCTGAACAACAGCGTGCATAGCTGCTTTGAGTTGTCTTTTGCACAGCAGGGCAAGGCCCTAGTAGTCCGCCATAGCCTTCGTCTACATGAAGAGGAAGGAGAAGGATGGCCATGGCTATGGTGGACCTCATGTTGTGCCTGCAGTAGAAGAGGGATTCGGACATTGATTCTGGTTCAGCCATTCAACATTATTATTATTATTTATTGTGAAATAAAGAGGGGAGGAGAAAAGGAGGAGGAAATTGGTAGGCGAGAAGAAGGGAATTATCACTGGTCTTTGCTGGTGTACATTTGCTTCTTCTTCTCCCTCTTTCCCTCTCTCTCCTCTCAAGTTCACTCATTTCTTTTGCAATTGGACGACATTGTGCTTTCTCATGAATTTGTACTGGGAAATTAGCCAGGGTCGTAACATTGGTATCAGTTCGGATTCTACTTGTTGGCGAGAGTTGATTGTGCCGCCATAACCCTAACCTAAGTGGTTAGGGCTAACCACTTAGGGTTAGGACAGGAAGTTCGGGTTAAGTGGGGCAGCATGATGAAAAGGGATGCTCCTACCTGGCATGGTCGTGGAGGGTCGTCAATAGACCCGGCCAGGTTGCTAGAGTGTGTGTGTGTAGTGGCAAGACGCGAAGTGGGACTTTGTGATGCAATTTGAGAGAGGTGACAGTGAAGAACACCTACAACTGGAATCTCAACTTCAGGCAAGACAAGGAACGATTTTAGGGCTCCCCTCAAGTTGGTGAGCTTGAGGGTGGCAGTCATATCTACACCAACAAACTGCAAGTTGCTACTTCGATCTTCAACATCAACGGGGGATCCGGCGTTGCACTTTAGGGTAGAAGTTGACCCTAGGACACTAGTGTCGAGGATGCTAATTGGGTCAAGAGGGCTATATGAGAAGGGGGGTGAGTTTCATTTCATCCCAAGAGCCTGGCCACTCAGGTAAGTGTCGTGCTACAAGGGTGGAAATGTGTGTGTGCATGGAATTGACTGCCTGTTGGCGTATTCTGGGTTCATTTCCCATCCTCTATGGTCTTGATCTCTTGTTGGTTGGGACCCGATCTTGACTCAACTGGGACCTTTTGGGACTCAATGGGATCGGGCCCAAACAAGAAGGGCCCCTCAGGCCCAAATCTGTTGACATCAGTCATCTTGCTCTACCTTGCTGGGACTCGGAGTTCATGCTTTCAGACCAGGACACTTGTTGCTGAGGGGATCTCAGCTGAGACGTCTCATAAACTTTATCGCACGATCCGCCGTTTGACTGGCACCTTAGACACCACTCAATTCTCTCTTGCATTGTGTAGTACACTTCGAATCTCATTTGTTGTGCTTGAGTTCAAGTAGGCTTGAGGGGATCTCATACGTAGTTGGACAAGACTGTGTCTCTGAATCAGATCTCTCTGTTACTTATTTTATTGTTGTTTTTATTTTTTTGACTGCTCTCTAGTCCAAATGAACTGTCGGTCCGTCTAGGAGTTCTACCTTCTCTTCTAATTATTTTCAAGTTGTTTCTTTGATTGGGTTGACAAATGACTGTACCGACACGATCACAAACAAAAGAGAGCAAGGAGAGAGAGAGTACTGAGCATCTTTCTTGAAGGTATCAGAAAAGGTAAACGGAGTGTTCGTCCGAGAAAAAGGGCAGAGAGTACTTACCTTGAGAGACTTGCCCATACCTTTCTTTACTTGCATGTCGGAAGCCCCGGTAGGACTAACATGGCAGCAACAACAGCAAAAGCTTCAGTGAGTCTGAAGGCACAAATGGATGTCGGAGACGCAGAGGATAAGCCGCTCGTTAAGGCCCTCTATGAGAGTGCACTGAAAAAGGAGGCGAAGTTGGAGGAAGAGGCATCAGAAGGAAGGAGGAGGCCACTATACAGGGCCATGAGGATGTGTTCAAAATTGTTCCCTCCTTATCGGATAATGAGATAGAGCCACACTTGATCACCTACATGCAAGGACTAATTGACTGCCACATGATGGACCCTCTCCCTGCCTTGGTTTCCCAACCGTTTGAGCAGGTAAAATATATGTGGCAAACCATAGCCTGGATGAAGAAGGCTCACAGTGACCAACTACGGAAAATTGCAGATCTGCACCAGGCTAACTCCCCACATCTGCCAAATGCATCGAACTCTGCTGCCTTGTCTACCACCTATGCCCTTCTCTTCTCTTCTTCATCCTTGAGTTTGATGAACACACAAGGACCTGCAACGAGTGCAACTTCTGCTGCTGCTGCA